TTGTGCCGGTAACGTCGGCAATGGTACGGTGCTCCTTCCCAAAGCGATGCTGGTCCATTCGCTTTGCTCCCAGGAATGGAACTGTTTGCGTACATAAGGCAGCAAGTCACCCAAAATCTTTAGGAGTGCAAGAGAGCTATAAAATATAAAATTATACTTTGAAATAGCAAAAGAGAAACCAGTTGCTTGCATACTACTTACGCAGAGTCCGGTAATTACATATATGGGATTGCTCCGATCGCGCAAGATTGTTTGCCTCACTTTTTCATTTGTTTGCTGCTCATTATTGAGCAAAACAGCTAATAAAACCATTGAACTCGTTTTAATTTTCACTTTTTAATTTCTTCAAAAGAATTTTGACACTTCAGAACGCAATTGACAAGTAGGAGGTTTGTTCCTTTTTTTTCTACAATCCGATTCGATATTAACTTCGAAACAAAAGTTCCGATAGGATTGTGGAACACCATTGAAATTCAGCAGAACAGGGCTGTATATTTTTATTAAAAAAAAAAATAAAACAAATTTAAATTACAAAAAATAATACGTTAAAACTTGTCAAAATATGGTGCGGCTATAATTTTTGTTTCATGTAAACAAGTGACAAAAAAATATAAAAAATTTAACGCTTGAAGCAAAGCTTTCGACTCATACATAGCCAGAGGGAAGTCCCCCGCTAAATGCCGTAGATTTTTGAACGAGAACATACATATTTACGTAGAATTGTACTCACATGTATGGTTGCCGGGTAAACCGGAAAATTGGTGGTAATTTTAAAGCTGACGAACTGACAGGCAAAGGTAGGACCACTCAAAACCTTCAAGGAAAGGACACGGTGGACATAATTAGCTTTCAAGCACTTTGTTAAAGATCACAACATTATAAATAGTAACCAAGGAACGCTGGAACAACTTTCGCCTTGCGTAACTTTCAAGATTACCTGGTATTTCTGTAAAAGGCCCGTAAGTGTTGGGCCACTTACTAATGTGGAATCGGAACCTATACTGAAAAAGTTACCAAATAGAACATGTAAGAAAGTCTAAGTTCGGGCGGAGCCGAACATTAAATACCCGGCGCAAGTATTAAATATATGTTTTTTCACCTTTCCGAAAGCTACCGCTAGATGGTAAACCGGGGTGTACCAATTTTGAGTAGCGTCCTTAAATTTCGAATTATTACAGTTTCAAGCATTTCTGAAATTTACCGTTATATGAAAAGCGACCGGAATTATAGCCCGACTTCAATAATTTTTAACAATTGTCTTTTATGTGGCAAGCACAATAACCGTACCGAGTTTGGTACAAATTGGTAGAACGGTTACCGATATACGTATATGTTATCATAAGTGGGCGGTGCCACGCCCATTTTCCAAAATTTTACCATAAACATATTTCTTGGTAAAGAATTGTTGCAAGCATCAATTTTGAATAAATTAGCGTTAATAGTTACTGATTTATCGAAGATTTTGTATTTCTCTAAATTACCGTTATATGGGATGTGGGCGTGGTTATTGTCCGATTTTTTTAATTTTCGGCCATTTAGTATGCTGTACTAAGGCCAACAACTGTGCCAAGTTTGGAAGAAATTGGTGCAGCGGTTACCAAGATATGCACATGTAACCATAAGTGGGCGCGGCTACGCCCATTTTCCAAAAATGTATAATATTCTTATTTTTCGTCTGAAAATTATTATAAATATCAATTTTGAGTGAATTATCTTCAGTAGTTACTAAAATATCGCAGTTTTCGTATTTCTGGAAATTACCGTTATATGGGAAGTGGGCGTGGTTATTGTCCGATTTTTTAAATTTTCGGCCATTTAGTATGCTGTATCGAGGCCAACAACTGTGCCAAGTTCGGAAGAAATTGGTGCAGCGGTTACCAAGATATACACATGTAACCATAAGTGGGCGTGGCTACGCCCATTTTCCAAAAATTTATAATATTCTTATTTTTCGTCTGAAAATTATTATAAATATCAATTTTGAGTGAATTATCTTCAGTAGTTACTAAAATATCGCAGTTTTCGTATTTCTGGAAATTACCGTTATATGGGAAGTGGGCGTGGTTACTGTCCGATTTCGCCCATTTTCAATACCAACCTACCTTGGATTAACAGAAACCTACATACCAAATTTCGTTGAGATATCTCAATTTTTGCTCGAGTTATCGTGTACACGGACAGACGGACAGACGGACAGACGGATGGACAGACAGACATGGCTTAATCGATTTCTCTATTCATTCTGAGCATATATGTATACATTTGTCTATGTCTATCTCGATTCGTTGTGGCTGTTACAAACAACCGTTATGTGAACAAAATTAATATACCCTTGTGCACAAGTGCGCTCGGGTATAAAAATAAATTACCGAACTTGATAAATAAAGAAAAAAATTACCAATTCTGGTTAAAAATTTCTAAAGCGGCAACGCTGGTCAGAAGGCATAATTCCATTGCCGTCTTGCTGTCTCCACAGGCAAAAGTTTTTATCTTGATAATTTTATCAGACAATATTTTGCCAATGGAGACCGTATATTGCTCTTGGCAAGCAATAATTATCAGAGCTTTTATATTGATAAATATGGCCAGCAATCTGGTAGTTTGACAACTACATTTGCATTTGCTCGAAAACTTCGTGGGGCCAGCGTGGGAATGTGAAATAGCAAATTTTATAAAATTTTATTTTATTTTTATTAATTCTTTTATCAAGATATAAATTAAAAATTAAATTTATATCAGGCAATAAATTTGGTAGGCAAAAACTTTTGCCTGTGGAGACGGGCCGTTGAATAATCTAACAAAAGTGTTATGCCCGTGAAGAAGTTCTTGAAATTCTCCAATGATCTTGCGTTTCATAGCACGGTTAATCGCACAGCGAAATTAATTTGAAGAACTTTTTCCTCTTCACTCTCAAGCGGTAACACTGATCCGGTTCGATGGTGCATCTGTTCTTAAAATTGCATAGTAAATTTGGCGACAATTAGAGTCCGACCGATTGTTCGGCTTCGACTTCGGTTTGCCGATTAATAGGCAATATTTTTATATTCGGCTGAATGTTCGGTTGAAAATGTGTATTATAATTTAAAGGTATACATTTATTGTGAATAATCTGTTTCAAAAAATTTGGTATGTATTGCAACTTTTTCTTAAAATCAGCTGTCAGCCACCTGGCGGCTCCTTTTCCTTACCGATACCCATATAAATCTCGAATCATAAATACGATTTTCAGTAATAACTCGACTTACTTTACTTACTTTTACAATAGCCCTAATTTTTCTTATTGAATATGCGATTAATTTCATATTCTACATACATATCTCCACCAAGTTCCAGAACTCTACCATGAACAATTTCCGAGACATGCAGTATGAAAAATTCGGTTTATATTTAAGGTGTCACGCCCCCTTTAGATATAGATTTTTTTTAGCCTATGACCATCCTTGGGAATTCTGCAGTAGATGTCCGAAATTAAAAAAAAAACGGTTCAACCGTTCCCGAGCTTTGCAAACAGAAAAAAACTCCTTTCAAAATATGTATGTATGTATTAGGGATGTTGCGAATGTGGAATTTTAGACATCCGCGGATGCGAATGCGGATGCGAATATCTAACAGCTAACATCCGCGGATGCGAATGCGAATTCGGATGTCAAGCATTTTTAAGAAACAATTTCAGAATCTAGCATAACGGCGAGATCGTTGTTTAAACAGCTTACAACCGGTTACAAACCAAACCAGATTTGTCAGGTTTTTCTAAAGCTTTTTAAAAAGGATTCTTCAGTCTCATTCCTTTGGCTGTTGCAGAATTTGGGGAATCTGTAACATCATGAGCGTTTTTCGATTTTAGTTTCTGTTATTTTTAATACTTCTTTCTGCGACTGGTTTGAAAAATTTGTGCTTATAGCGAGCTAAACAGGTGGATATGAAAAATAAATTATTATATTCCAGGAATGAAATTTTGAACAAAATTCTGTTTTTAAATCGTGGCTGCCAGCCGAATCGGATCAGAATATTGTTATTTAAAAAAAAACCCTGTTTTTTTATAAGCATTTGAATCTCTCGTAATTTTTATCTTATTAAAGGTCAGACCTATAGTTTTTTAATTATTTGAGCATTGATTTTCTTCATGGCCAGATGCTTACCATTTCTGCTGAAAATCCCTATTTAAGGAGCTTACTCTTTCATTTTAAATAACAAAGAAGAGACACTTTTATCACAGAAGTGTTTAGCCAAGGATCCAATGTATATCCCTATGAAAAAAAATATTGCCCGACAAGTAAACAAAATTACTGTTTTTAAAATTTTTGCTAAAAATATATTTCACAAAAGCCCCAAATTTGGTTAAGAATTACAGTGTACACTTTCTTCTTTTGTATCTAGTAGTTTTTTTTAAGATTGGCCCAAAAAAATCATAATACAGAAAGAAACCAATGCAGGTATTTAAAGCACAGGAAAAAAATTTGCTAAAAATACTATGTTCTCTTTGCGGTACGTCAAAGGTCAAGTAGAAGTCGGATCTTGTATGACTGCCCATTGATAGCTCGGTTATATAGCTTAAGAAATAAATATGTTTAAAGACATTTTTATCAAAGTTGATAAATATGACATTTGACCAGTTTTGTTACACAAATACTCCCACGACCGCAGGCAAAAATATTGACTACAATTTGTCATTTTGTTTGCCATATATACGTTTTATTGGTGCACTTGCACAACATTCGCATTCGCAAAAGCTCCGCATTGATTATTGTGAATGCGAATGTTAAAATTAATGCGGAAGCTCCGCGGTTGCGAATGCGAATGCGAATATTCGCAACAACCCTGGTATGTATTAGTATGCATACATATATTCCAAATAAATTCAACATCGGACCATAAATACTGCGTTTTCAAATATCTCGACATCTGCGCCACCTAGCGTATGAATTCATCTTTCATATGGCATTGTTATCTGGTTCTATGCTAACCTTTGAAGTGGCTCCCTACCTCATCGCAAGGTTGGTTAAAAAGTGATTCCAAGATTTGATTATAATGACGAATCTATGGATACGACTGAAGTACATAATGAAGGTGAGAATGGTGAGAATGGGCAACAGGATGGAACACCAACAGTACTTGATGATGTACCAATGGCCAATTTGGCTTCATTCGCTATTTTTAAACTTTTCACTGAATGGGAGAATGAGGGTTATGTTGTACCTGAGCTGCGTGTAGCTCATTCTACACAACCAGGATCTGGTACTGAGGGAGGCAGTGTTGATGGAAGTCCACAATCTAAGCCGCACAAGGCACAGCCAATACGCTCTGAGTTGCCAAATAATTGGGAATCGATACATCCATCCACCTTGCTTTGCATGATGCGACCCGGACTACAATATCGCGAACTAGGTACAGTGGGTGATTCCCCAAATGTACTTCAACGTATGGGTGTTACCGTAGATGATGTGCAGTACGAGAGTTCTGGACGTTCTAAGAAAATTGCGCGTCGCAACGTTGCCGTATCTGTGCTTGACGAGTTGTTTGGCACAAACTTCGTTATGGAGCAACAATGCCAAGACTAATGAGCAAAAAACTTCACATGTGCTTAGTATTTTAGAACTTAATCTTCAAATTCTGTAGAAAATAAGCGAACCTTGTCGCATTCAAGAATTTTACCAATAAAGGACACAGGTGAAACTTAATAGAAGCTTGTAAAACCAATCCTTAAAATCGCCAACCTGGGAAAGCTGAGAAATTTAATTTCTATATACATACACACATACATATAACTCAGACTTTCAGAAAAACTGTTTTTATCAATCCCCAAAAAAGCGTACAATTTATAGAATGTTAATAGTCCGGGAGCTAGCGACAGTAAATATGTGCAGATTTTATCGTCAAAGACAACATATCGGGGGCTTAAATTTACTGCTGTAGATTAACAAACAGGAGGGTTCACATTGTGTAATAAAAAATTTAAAATAACCTTAATTTATCGTCTTTGGCCTTTTGTGTGGTTATCAATTAACATTGGACGATGTCAAAAGTTGATCACTTACACTTACACAGCGGGACAATGTACCGCTTACAAGCGCGCAAAAATGTCAAAGTTTTGGCGAAAATCGACCTATGACATCGCACTTTAAGTTTATCATGGACATAGAGGAACGCATTATACATTTAAAAATAATGTGCTTACATCGCATCCGCGGTACAAACCTATTGTAAGTGATCGGCAAAGTCGACGTCGCATATAGGGACGAATCGAGAATATAGGACGAAAAAAAATTTTTACTCAATATATATTTGAGAGATTTCAATGGAAGTTGGTATTTAGGGGTCTTTGTTAGCACTCTTCGATATATATATTAAAATTTTAAAAATTCAAAATGGTGGATCAAATATGGTGGGCCACTTTTTCAAAAAAAATATTGATTCGCTTGAAACTTGGTATCCAGGGGCATTCATCGTCGGTGATTTCGAAGCTGGTATTTCAGAATTTTAAATTGTGGATCCAATATGACCAACGGCTTCTTTAAAATAATTATAGATTGTAATGAAACTTGATACCTAAGAACTCTCGGAGTCACTGATTACGAATTTAAAATTTGATTTCCAAAATTCATATAATTATATGGCCCATTCTCAGAAACTTCGAATTTTTTGTGAAAACATTTTTTTTTAATTCGCGAGCACAAGACTGAAACTTTTTGTATGCGTTCCTTCAGCGGCTAGGATACAGAATCTAACATGGAGCAACGTTTTAAAGCAATGCACCATACGTTTTTAACGTTTTTTCCTGAAGTGGAAAATGGGTTTAATTTTAGTCTGATTTCGTAAATTTTCAACATATAGCTTTTTTATGCCAAGGTCAATAATTGCACTGAGTTTGGTACAAATTGATAAATCGGTTACCGAGATATACATACAGTGAACCAAATAACAAGTAATTTTTAGCCAAAAAACCGACTTCAATTCTCATATAAAAAAAAATATATATACATATATATTTCGTGATCCAATAATCGGATCTAAACCAGATTAGTATGGGACCACCTCTGAGATACTACCTTTCTGATGCAAAAATAATTATCGAAATCGGTTGACGTGGTTCAAATTTATGCGGTAACATACATAAAAAAAAATATTCCGGCGAACTGATAACCTCCTCCTTTTTTGGAAGTCGGTTAAAAACTGGGGCTCGACACTTTAGTAAGTTTTGGCCATGATGCAATAAAATAAGGTGGTATCAGTTGTGACACCTCGATTTGACACTGCCTTAGCGCAGTAGAATAAGAAGAAAAACGGGAAGAAATGAATCCCCATTTGGGGAAAAAATATAAAATTTCATATTTTCTTCTAAACAAAATTTGCTTTTTTATAGTATATTCGCAATGAAATGAAATAAAATAAGATATAATACCTTTTTGAGGAAAAAAAGTGTGTATACAGAGAAAAAAAAAAAAATTCAACTATATTATTAGGCAAAGAATTGTTAAAGAAGTAAGACTGTTTCATCTAAGGCAGTCAATATGGCGGAATTAGAGCGAGAAGTTGCCAACCGATAACACCTTTTATTATTGCATCATAAGTTTTGGCTGTTTTTCTTTAGTTTATTTAACGTTTATTATTTTTTTATGAAAATCTAGCTGATTACTTAACAAACACGATATAAATTAAAATTTCAGACTTTGTGCAAAAATTACAAAAATTCTGCAAAATTTTACCAAAATTACTAACTCTTGATCAGCGTCTTTAGACAAAATTTTGGTATTCAGTTTTGTAGCCTATTAAATTTTAGTAAAGTGCAGTGCAAATTTTAAGTATCTTGGACTTACCGTTGATTTTTGGCAACTTTTTTTTGTTGAGGGTACTCCCCCATTTTTATTCATATAAAAAAAATTCGAACATAAATTCCCAAAAATCAACGGTACGTTCGAACGAACAGCGCAAATTTGATGACATGCACAAAAAATGGCTTTGGGTATAATATATATTGTTTTTTTTTGTAATTTTTAACCGACTTCCAAAAAAGGAGGAGGTTATCAGTTCGTAGGAATCTTTTTTTTTTTTTTATGTATGTTACCGCATAACTTTGGACCACGTCAACCGATTTCGATAATTCTTTTTGCATCGGAAAGGTAGTGTCTCAGAGGTGGTCCCATGCTAATCTGGTTGAGATCCGATCAGTGGATCATGAGATATATATATATTTTTTTTTTATATGGGAGTTGAAGTCGGTTTTTTTTGTTAAAAATTACTTGTTCTTACTTATTTTTCGCTCAGTAACTTTTGAAATAACAAATAAAAAGTGGTGCACGGGGATCATAGTTCAATAGTATATTGTACAATGAAGCACACACTTCTTTGGCCTTTTAAAGAAGTTTTTTTTTTAAATCTATCTTCTAATGAGAGCACATAAGCCTGCCACGTCTAGATCCCTGCGATATTGCAGAAAACAATTTTGTTAATCAAAATTTCAAAAAATGCTGAACTTTAGTGGAATAAATAAAAATATATGTTAAAATATGTTATTTTTTATTATTTTATTAAATAGTACGGGTTTTTAGCTTTCGTAAGAAGAAATAAAAACCTACTCATTCTGTGCACTTTTTGAAGTAATGGGTTTTTTGCTAATGCATAAAATCATTTTTTAATTTTTTTTTCAGTGCCATCAGATCTGCACGAGTCGTTCTATTTTCAAAAAGGAAGTGTCAGATTAAAAAACTTGACCTGTAGACGATAGAGGTTTATTTTTTTTTAAAGAGTTGTCACCTGTTAAAAAATTAAATTTAAATTTTTTTAACAAGTTAAATGAAGTTTTAAGAGAAATGTGTATGAAAACGGTTAATTTTATAACTACATATAGAGGGATGCCACCTATTTAAAAAATCTAGCTTAATTTAAATTAAAGGAACTAGGTTATTGAGTCAGGTTTAAGAAGGGTTGCAAATATCACGAAGAGGGTCGCCACCTGTTTGTAAAGGCCAATTTAGTTAAACTAGAATAATAACTGTTTTAAACCAAAGGTTTACGACATTTTATTTGTTATTTTATTACAAATACATACCTTGTCAATCAGTGATTTGTTCTGATTACATTCCTTTTAAATTAGTCTTAAATTAACTCAGGAATGTTTTTACCCTTCACTTATTTCTTGCTAAATATGCCCAATTTTTTCTTTTGTCTGAAACCGATATTGGAGTATGTACATATTTCCGTTGCCCTATTCCCTTAATTAAAGTGAATTTGATTTTCTAAAAACACGTGGCAACCGTTCTACGTGTCATTTAGGAGTAAAGCCTTTTCAAAACCATTTCAATTGATACCCATATTGTAATATCTAATTCATTTAACTTAACAAATAATTTTAGTAAAATTTATAACAGGTGGTAAGCCTTTACAAACAAATAAAACTTTATTCACACCTGCATGCCAAGCCCTGCCATTTTACACCTCACTTTTGAAAATAGAACGAACTATATTTACATACCTAGTATGTAAATGCCACATGAACCAAAATTGTCAACTTCAAACCGCGTTTACAGTGAATGAATCAAAGTTATGCAAAAACAAATTGCATTTTTGAATTCAACGTTCTCAATTTTAGAATCTAAGAAGCGAATTTTCATTTAAATCCGTCCATAATTCTATTTTTGCCCACATTTTATATAGAAGGGAATCACTGTGCGGCGGCGAATTCGCCGATCACTTACAATAGGTTTGTCCCGCGGTTGCGATGTAAGTACATTATTTTTACATGTATAATACGTTACTCTATGCCCATGATAAATTTAAAGTGCGATGTCATCGGTCGATTTTCGCCAAAATAACTGTAAGTGATCAATTTTTGACATCGTCTAATGTTAATTGATAGCCACACAAAAGCCCAACGACGATAAAATAAGGTTATTTTTTTTTTTACACAATGATAATGTTCTAGGAAGGCGTTGCCCAGCTAACTGGGTGTAAGTGGTTGGTTTGCTTGATTTACGTGATTATATTGAAAATCTTATCATACTTTTATCGACGATAAAATAAGTCACTATAAACTGTCGCTAACCCCCGGACTATAAGATCAAAATGTTCCGCAATCATTTAATAATTTTGATGTATATATACATAATCATGTACTTATAATTTTTAATATCTAACTAAATTTTGTTTGCAGAGCAACTGGTGTCACGGGGTCAATACGCGTCAATGGTGAGCCTATTTCAACAAACTCACCCAGCTTTCGCGAACTTTCCTGCTACATACACCAAGATGACCTTCTGCGACCACAGATGACTGTTGGCGAAACGATGATGCTAGCCGCGCATTTAAAGTTGGGCTTTGGCATCTCCAAGGAATATAAACAAAATTTGGTATGCTACTACTTCGATTTATTGCTGTTCAGTTTTTAGTGCATATTTATTTATTAGCCAGTGAATATATTCTGGCTAATTCGTATACATGTATATCTGTACAAGTATTTATGTATATTCATGTGTATGTATGTATGTATATATATATACGTATGTAGAGTGATTTAAAAAGATCGCAGATTTTCTTTTATAAATAAAACAAATACAATTTCTTATCATATCATGATAACGTTCATCGTAACAGCGTTACTGTCAGATGACCGGGTAATATACATATAACAGATTGGCGCTTACACAATATGTTAGTATTTGACCGAGCTGCTCCGCCGATTTGTGCCGTGCGCCGCGTTGTTGTGGCACAAAGCGTTGGGACCTACAGTTTTACGCTGACTCCGAACGGCGATTGTATTTTTATGAGAAGCCTGCCGAGTGTCGACCGCTATTAGAAACAAATTTTTTTTTTATTTACAAAACTTTATAAAAACTAAAACTGCTAGGCCTTTAGTAAGTAATCTACCGACCTTTGAACTAACTTGAGTTTCGAAAGAAAATTAGTTAGGGCTTTTCTACATAAAATTGTTCATATGCTGTTATTTTTTGCATGATGGCCAACTCTTTTGGAATAATATTAGCCCGAACACAAAGAAAACGTCGAGCTACGGACCACAGCTGTTCAATTATTTTTCAACGTATTCTTATGCAGATAATTATTTTGGCGACGACTGTGGTTGTGGTCAGATTAGATCTATTTCTATTTTTCCAGCGACCGATAAAGTTCTTCTTCTTCTAAACTAAATATATAAATTCATGATGTCGCTGCCGCGTCCAAAAAAAATCATCTTGCCATCGACAACGCGTTTAGATATTGAAGTGGATAACAAGGATAACAAAGTGGAAGCTGTGGCCTGTAGCTCGTCGTTTTCAATGTGTTCAGCACTTATGAGTCTAATCGGAAGGAATGTAACACTTGATTTGCGGCAATGCCTTTTTTCCATTTGTGTGTCAAAAATACTAAGCAAAAGATTTTCATAAATATTCTGTTACCCTTAGGCTAGGTTAGGCAAGATAATGGGCCCTTACACCCATTGTGATATCTCTACGAACGCTTTAGCAGGCGGCAGACCGCCGAGTACCTTCCCAGGTATTTAAGCCGCAGTCTAGCAAAGGCTGACAACTTAAGAGAAGGTGCTGAGATGATTCCACCTCATCGTTCCCCATGCAGCTACCAAAATAAGGAACAGGTATGATACTTAATATAACTGCATAAAACCGAATCAAGCAGATCTTTTGATTGCCTACGGTCCACCCTCGTCCAGAAATACCTTACAGTAGCACACGTCCTGGTTTTCGCGCAGCGTAGTAGGCTGCTTCCTTATTAGCAGAGAGCTCTGCCTAGAAAGCAGCACAGCGATCTGGAAGCCCAATTTTAAGATTGACGAAGAGTTCCTGGGCAAAGGCTCCTACAGCGACCCTTCAGTCAAGCTTCGCCACATCCGCGTAAAACTTCACCGGGGCCTCCTTCCAACCACTGCCCCGTTCATTCATCTATAAATGAGGTGTGCGTAGAGAAATAGCCAATTGGTGCCATACTAGCCACGCAGTTATTAGCGTTATTAAGGATGATCTCTAAAAATTCTCTAATATTAGATTGCCAGTCAGGCAATCGGTGCCACTTGGTTTGACTGCAGTCTTTTCTACAGCTACCCTGCGATACCGACCGGAGCTATGTTAAGAAAAACGTTAAGAGCCCGGGGTTGGCACTTACTAGAGTTTACAGTAAGTCCACAGTTTACAGACTATTCGGTCACCTGGTTGAGTGAAGTCATAGATGGTATCCTGTAAGGATGATTTTAAAAGCCCTCTCAAAAAAGGCATAGTAAATTAGGTATAAATACTTTCTCAATCGGCTTCAAGATCTTCTGCAGGACGTTTTCGATTGATACCCTTGATATATGCGTGTTGTGATCCTGACCGGAGATCACGGAGAGTTCTGTATTTAGTACAGTGTTTTAGACAGGAACGAAAAGAGGCTGATAGGTCTGAAAGCCAAAGGAGAGATGCGAGAGCTTTTTACGTCCTTAAGTATAAACCTCACCCTGATCACTCTCCTGTTGATATACTCTCACATAACGCAACTAGCGACATCTTCAGATTCTTTTTCGAATATATTGGTGCCTGCCACCGCTGACTGATAGGCGATGCCACTGTCCCCAGAACCCAAATGGTGGCTTTTCCTGTGACTAGGTCGCATGGAAAATGGCCACCGAGAAGCTTGAGCTACTTCTCACTACTCATTGTCCAATTTCCTGCCTCGTCTCTCAAATATCCAAAGGAAGCAGGCCTGCTCGCAAGAGCGCGCCTTTCGCAGAAGCCTCGCCAAAGCTTAGATTTCTTGATTTCAGACTTAAAAATTACTTGTCCTGCTCTGTAAAGTTCTCAATCAGAGAGTAGCCTAGTCCTGTGGGTTCTACTAAAGAGCCGTCTGCTTGGTGACCAGAGGCCAGACGTTATCATAGGATTTAAATAGCTAAAATGTTATATGCAAATAATAGGTTGCCAAATTTTACTATGGGTCTTCGAACAACAATCACCAAATGTTTTAAGCCATTATGAAATTGATGTCATCATGACACTGTTATCAACTTATTATATTTTTTGGAATATGTACAGTATTTAATTGGATACGCCCTAATGAGTACAGCTGTCATTAAAACAAAATGCTTCAATTCCCATAAGCAACAACAATGCGATAATTGATTAATGTAACTACTAAATGCTTTTTAATGTATGTATGTATATACATTAGGGTTGCCCAAAATAAGTAAAGTCGGAATTTTAATGCTCTCACCCCCTCGGATTACTCTATATCGAAAAAATATACCCCTATTTTTTTATTTTAAAATCAAAAATATTTAGAGGTCGCTCAAACCGCTCAAAGTTGTCCATGTATTTTAAATGGGAAAAACACCTTTTCATAGAAATGGTATAGAATTCTTGAAAATCAATATTTTTTGATCGCAAAACTCTGTTCCTCTTCAGGAGACTCATTCCCAACAAATACCCAATTATTTATTTAGCCATTTTTTCATACCAATGTATTTTTATTTATCCCCTATTGCATTTTATGGCATTTTATGGGAGTTTTGGCGAACTTATAAAGTATAGTTACTATAAAAAAATTTCAAATAATTGGGTATTATTATTGGAATCTTCTGAAAAGAAGTGGAGTTTTCCGATCGAAAAATATTGATTTTCATGAATTCTATACTATTTTTACGTAAAGTGGGTTTATTCTATATAAAATACATGGAAAACTTTGAGTGCTTAGGGCGCTAAAAATTTTTTGGTTTCAAAATAAAAAATAGGGGTATATTTTTTCCGGTATGAGAGCATAAAAATTCAGATTTTAATTTTTCACAAGCGTTTTTGGGCCACGCTAATATACATATATATGTATGCATGAATGTACACATATACAAATATGCGTGTGTATATAAACACAAACAATATATAAACATATATATGTACGAAGCTTTCTGTACAATTAAACATTATAATTATTTGCAATTATTCTTACTTTGCAGATCAAACATATTTTGGCTTTGCTGGGTCTGGAACACCGATTCAACGTATTTGCGGCGAAGTTGTCTGGCGGTCAGAAAAAGCGCCTGGCCATAGCGCTCGAGTTGATAAGTAACCCGCCAGTTCTGTTTTTGGATGAGCCAACAACGTGAGTATAGCCCAAAATAGTTTTTCGAAATCAGCTGTTTTTTAGAAAGTGTGGTGTCCAATGAAGGGACTGACAATACATCAGTGGCAGCTGGCAGTACTGCTCAGTTTAGCCCAAATTCTAAATTCACTGCCACTGCCTTCATCGCAGCAAACTTCGCGTGCTGTATTTGACATAAATAAAATGCAGCCAACTTCAGTGCATGTCACTGAAGCCTAAAAGACAACAACAAAAATGTAAACAAACAAAAGGAATGTCAAAAAAAGCTGTCACTGACAACGCCGTATTGTATTTGCTGCGGCAGTGACTGCCAATATTATCAGTAACAGCTGATTTTTTAAACTGTCACTGCCACTGCGCTATTGTATTTTGGCCTTATATTTTGCTTGTGTTTTTTATTTGCATATATGTAAGAATGGCAGAATACAAGATTGCGCCCATCAGAGAGGATTTTTGAGCGTAATTTTTGTGTGACGTCATTTTGGTGCAATTGCAAGTGAGACAAGTAAAACGCGAAGGAAAAATGTAAACAATGCGGAAAAACGTCTTAATATCATGGTCCAATTTTGAGGAAATCAATCAATATACAAAGTTTTATTAAATAGGAACACGTAGCAATGATTTTGGGCAAGTACGATTTTCAGCACATGCCGGATGTTGGAAAAATGCATGAAGTTATACATATGTATGTATATATGTACAGAAAAAAAAAATCCTTATATCGTACGCTTGCCTTTGGTTTTCACTTTTACAATTTGCCACTGCACACTTCATTTTCCCTTGTAGTGTTTCAATAATTGTGTACAACTACGCAGAGATATTAACGCACAAATAGTTTAATTGGAAATGTTTAGTTATTTGCCCACTGTTTTTGGGTTAGTGAAAGGAGAGGAGGGGGCGTAGGTCCTGATATCCAACCCACTGGAAAGAGCACAGTGCACACTTTGTAAAAAGTTACACCTGATCCCTCGAAACTTTCCAGAGACCCCTGGGGAATCCTTTGAAAATGGTCTAAAATTAGCATTTTTTCACCGAACATGTATACTCGATAAACAGTATTTTTGTGCAGGACACCTTTCTATTGCCAAAGGTATTCAACATTTCCTGTGCATATAACTCCGGCTACACCGAAATTCACAAAAAAGGTAATTTTTCAGACCGAATTTATTAATAAATTGGTGACCGAAAATTACAAAACTAGATTTTACAATAAAGTGTAGACCCTTGACTACAAGTGTGTGTACAATTTTTTGGATCGGGTCACCCATTCGGATACAACAGCCGAAATCATTGGGCAAATAACTAAACCGTACCCAGTTAAATAGCAATAAGGTTTTCCTTAAGCAAACAATTGCACCAAAATGTACGTATATGTTACCAATTTGCCACAGAACGAGGACAAGCTCGAATCGAACTCATTAAAAAATATGTCGTGCAATTTTGTGGTGCTGAAAATTCTATGGAGCATTTATAAACATACATATATTTCACAACCACATAATTGCTTAGTCACGATTTTTGCAAACATCCCACAGAAATCACATGTCAATGTCATTCACAACCAGTAGTTTTGGCTTTGTGAATAAATAAATAAATATTTCTAATCACAAGAGTTTACATTAAGGTGGCCCAAAAACAGTAAAGTCGGAATTGTAATGCTCTCACCCCCTATCATTGTTCTATATCGAAAAAAGTATACTGCTATTTTTTTATTTTAAAATCAAAAAATATTTAGAGGTCGCTCAAAGCGCTCAAAGTTTTCCATGTATTTTTATATGGGGAAAACCGCTTTTCGTAGAAATGGTGTAGCTTTCTTGAAAATCAATATTTTTCGATCGGAAATCTCTGGTTCTCTTCAGGAGACGTACAATAATAATGACCAATTATTTATTTAACCATTTTTTAATACTAACGATTGTTTATTTGTCCCCCCATTGCATTTTTCGGGGTTTTTGTGGGTTTTTTGCGGACCTATAAATTATAGTTGCGATGAATAATTGGTCAAATAAACAACCGGGTATTACTATTGGGAATCTTCTGCAGATGAAAGAGTTTTTCCGATAGAAAAATATTGTTTTTTTTAGAAGTCTATACCATTTCTACGAAAAGTTCTTTTTTCCCATATAAAATACATGGAAAACTTTGGGCGCTTTGAGCGACCTCTAAATATTTTTTCATTTCAAAATAAAAAAATAGAAGTATATTTCTTTTCGATATAGAACAATCCTAGGAGGTGTGATCATAAAAATTCCGACTTTACTTTTTCACATGCATTTTTGGACCACCCTATTGTACATACATATGTAAGTGCATGCATGCACAGGCATATATATTTATTTAAATTTTAATTAAACTTAAGTGAAAGCCACATACTGCGCATATACACGTAGATACATACTACATATATGCATGCATCCATACCCTGCAGGAAATGCATCTAACTATAAGCTAACTTGAACTAAAGTCACTAAAGGTCACTATTATCTTTATATTTTCTTTGAGGAAAGCTACCCATATTTCTATGGCGGTGGCCGTGAATAAGTCAAGGGTGATTACCTCTGCATTAGATATCAACTAACTTGTAACTAACTACTTTTGGAAATAAAATATCCATATAGTGTATTAGATGTGGTAATTAATCTCTTGTCACTGGACCTCGAAAATTATTACGGAAGAAATTAAATTACTGATTAGCCCAAGACTACTGAGTAAACGGGATGCTCATGCGTACTTACATATGTACACATATATGTTTCTACGTATGTATGCGTATAAGGTGTGTCCTTATTAGCGGGCGTAGCGTTCTGCGTACTCCTCAGCAAGTTTTTCTAAGAAAGTTATCGTGGGAAACAGACCCCATTTGTTTCATTTATAGCCAGGGCCGGATTAAGAATGTGGGGGCCCGTGCCGCTATACATGTGGGCCCTTTTTTGTTGAGTTAATAATTACGCACAATTAATTGAAACACATAGTTTAATTTTAATTTTAACACTATAATTAATTATCGACTTCTTACCTTGTGTTTTCTTTTGAAATTCTCGCCGGAATTTCTTTGTACCTACCGCTTATGCTGTATACAGTATTAAACGACTGACCAGGACAGTCTCGTATATGAAGAGAGATGGAATAGTACGAGGAGACATGGAATAGTACGAATATTTTGTATTTTTGATCCGGCTTATTATTTTTGCCTGTACTTTCTCACCCCTCAAAGTTATTATTTCCTCGCAGGTTATTGAGGATAAATAACTCACGTGCCCTCGTCCCTTATTTCCATATTTTTTGATATGTCCGGTGGTTATTATCAGATAAGTCGAGAATCTCATCAGAATCAGGAGAAGTTAATCTAGGTTCCGTAAGATGTATTGATGGTGCTGATACATCTTCTTAATACCTAGCAATTTTTTATGTAATCGCTGAAAAATTATTTTTGTGTTCTTTTGTCATCACATGTGGAGGCCCCCACCCCTTAATCCATCCCTGCCCTTAATCCGGCGCTGCTCATAGCCTTCGACTTGTAAACTTAAATACCCTTTAGAGTGTAAAGTTGAAATTTTGAAGTCTTTTGAGCGTTTTATTATTGCCCAGTAATTGTCTGTTTCATGGCTGAAATATACTCGGAGGTTTGCTATTGCCTGCCGTGGAGCTACTGCTGTTAGAAAAAATTTTCTCATTCAAATTTTGCTTGGACCAGGGATCGAACCGCACTCAACCACAGCGGCTACAAATACCTACTCAAGACAAAAAGAAAAATCGGCATGTATGCATATGGGTCGTTCTCTTACAAATCGTACCTACACCTTTTTTGACTTAACGTTTTACATAGATGCGGTTATCGACGTTTGCGGCTCCATGTTATATGCATGGAGTCGAAGACGCCTATAACGCTGTTCAACCAGAGATTGAGTAGCCGACGCTAAGTTTTATGCACTAAATAAGGTTACATCTGTATCGCAAAATTTGTTGAAATGTCAAATTTTTGCACAAAGTTTTAAATTATGGTTAATATAGTTTTTGTTAGATAATGTTTTTATCAAATACTAGCCATCGCCCGCTTACTTCGCGGCGTCTAATAAGATCATTCGCGTGGGCCAATATAAAAATAGCGTCTAAAAGAAAAAATCTCTACCAAGCGTGCATGATCTTCTTTGATCTTGCAACTACAACACTGGTCCGATGCGTAAGAAAATAAAAGTTCTTATAAGGAAACTCAAGACCACAGATGTACGTTTTCTGTTATATGAGGAAAAAGAATTCTCGCTGTCCCAAAGGATATAAAATTTTCCCATACATTGGCTAAATTATTCGTGTAATCTCTTGAATATCGTTCAAATGAAGCCATTGATATACCAACCGTGTGGTATGGATGTGGTCAATTCGCCTCTTTTACAATTCGTCTTTATATTTGTGAACTGGTTTCTTTGAGTCCTACTGCTGCAATATCGGCCGCCCCGAGCAACTTCGTTAATCGGAGGTAAATGCAAGATCGCATTAAGGGTATATGAGGGCGTCCGACAAAGGTGCGCTTACACAATTCCATTTAGCCATCTGAAACGTAAATACATGGAGTTTCTATATATTTCGGCTGTAGCGCCATCCATTGGGTAAATTTTCTGCAAAATAAGCGATATGAGAAATTCATTTTGTATGGGAGGTGTCACGCCCCCTTTTCCACTACCTTCCGCTTTTCGTCGTAAGTACGGTATTGATAATATATATAGCTGTGGCAAATTTCAGGATATCAGCATACACAATTACATTTACACAATTTCATTTAACCATCTGAAAAGTAAATTCACATAAAATAAAAATAGGGCCAAAGCAGGCCAAACCCATGGGGTTTCTATATATTACGGCTGCAGAGCCATCCTTGGGTATCTTTTCTGCAAAACCATTGCTTATCATGAAATGATTATCATAAATTTCAACCAGGTTGTATTAAAAATAAGGATTTTCTAAATATCTCGTCTACAGCGGCACCCAGCAGGTCCATTTCTTGC